ACACGGGAACCCCACGTTTATTGTTTGGCTCTAAGCCTTATTGATGTCAATCAATGTTTTTTTACTCAGTCAGCAGGTTAGAATGAATTTAGAGCCTGGCACAACTAAATTCATCCTAAGTTCTCTTGTAACCTTAGACTAGATTATTCCAGTTATAAAAGTGTATCTAAATATTCAGCAATGAATAAGCTTATACAAACATTATGAACTGAACTTTAAAGGATTTCGCAGCGTTTTAATACATTTTTGTTCTATTATTAGTGATTATTATCCTGCTAATTAAATGGTTTGCCCCAACTTTCCATACCACATTAGCACAACGAGATAAGGTTACTAAGATGAGCGGGAAAAAAAGTCAGAATAATCCATTAGCAATAATAATGGCTGGACATTGAGATTATTGTTTGAAAATGCAGAGTGAAAAAGTATGTATGAAGTATTTTAAGGGGAAGAAAGACAAAAATGCATTTGCACCATTGTGGACGTTTGTAAGTTATGGCTTAGTGGTCAAGGCATTCGACTTTTTAGTCCCAGTTTCAGATCCCATTCCATCTATGCCGGTTAGGTCAACTGAGTAATATCACTAGTCCTCACCCTTAACTTGTGCTTCAAACTCATGTATATTTTTAAGTGCATGGTAAGCTGGTAAGTCGGTTTCAGAATCTATCTAATTTTGGAATGTAACTTTGTTAAAATTAGTCATTTTTGTAGTTTCGTAACAATCAACTGTTGAATCGGCTAGAATTTAGCATTCAATGTGTAGTCTCAGTTTATATAAATTGATTTCAGCATACATTTAACAAGAGTTGTATATCATTGAAGTGGATGAAATGCGTTGTTTGAAAGGATTAAAAGACTTCTGAAACACCAAATATCTTGATCATACATGATAAAGGTTCAAAGTGTTTAGTGTCTAGGAGGTTTTCAAGTTGTTTAATTATGGTCACTAATCACATGAGTTTTCAGATTGTCGAAATATCCCCCAACATGTTTTCTCTGTTAAAAATGTGATACTTTTACTTGTGCGTATTATTTGTCTCTAATTTCAGGATGCAACCCAATAAGTGAAGCTATTTGTTTCATTAATTTGTTCAATTCCAATCGACAATGAAAATTTCCTTCAATCAATCATAAGATGAAAGCGACAACGAAGACAAGAAAACAATACTAGATCTTATAATTCCATATTTTTCTTTATTAAAAAAATGACTTAATTTTATCAGTCATTGCCTACTATTTTAATTAATTACTATGTGTCTTCCATTCATCATTGTTTTTCTTTCGAAATTAATTCATCATATGTTTTTCGTTGTCACCATATTTAGAAAATTCTTTTCTCGTTTTGACTAATTCTTTCAGTGTATAAAAATCACAGTAACACTACAATACTCACTGTAAGTATACAAACATTTTAAGAGTTTAAATAAAATCATTTAAGAATTGTTTACGTCCAAGTTAATCTGTTTTGTTTCGATATTTTACTAGCTGAACTAAGTTTTTTTCCATTTTTGCCACTTCCGCTTTTTTGTCAAGTAGTTAAATGGATTGTTTCTTATTTTCTCCAATTGTTTTATTGTTTAACCTACAGTCTCAAAATCCTGAATGAAGAAAAGATTTCACCTGGTTTTTCCTCTGATTTTTGTTTTGTATATAAATACTTTTTGTTTTTAGTTGGTTGGTTTCTTTTAGTTATACACACTGTGCACTAATGATGTTGTGTAGATCTTTTATTAATAATTGTAAAACAGTTATTCGTAACTCTTATCATGGATATTGACTTTAATTTTGTTGTATATTTGTATGTACTGGAATGTAATAAGTAACAAACTAATGTTCGATCCCATTTATGTTTTAATATAGTTCAGTTTAGTTTATGCATTTATGTTGAATATAAGAGAATGGTATTTTCAGTAAATATCGTCATTTCATTCTATTTGTGTGTGGGCTGTGATACTGCCCAGGTGGTTTTCTTAGGGGGCCACACCCCGAGACTTTGACCTAAAAGTCTGACCCACAGGGCAGTGGGGCATCGTGAGGAGATGCTGTCCGATGGTAACCGGTGACCAACGATCGTTTAAGACATGTGAATTTAGGATTGTGATAAACAAAATACAATAAAATTGTTAATGTTGATATGACTCACATAGAATGTTAACTCGAATCTGCGTATATGTTACGTGAGATTTTAAGATACATGATCAGAATAAATATGGGTCAAGTACGGTGAGAGAGAAAAATAATAATGCAATTACTGACCAGGAAGATTTGAATAATAAGATAGAGAATGAGTTTACCAGATCTTTGAAGATGCTCAGGGACCAACAGACCATCTCTTCGAGTTTATATGAAATGATTAAATCAATAGGAACCTATCTGCCGAGATTGTATGGATTGCCAAAGGTACACAAACCGAGGATCCCATTAAGACCTATTCTAGATATGTATAACTCTCCTTACCATACCATAGCTAAATGATTGGTAACTGTATTGAAACCGCTACACGAAAAGCTTGTAAAATATAGTGATAAGGATGTGTTCCAATTTGTTGATAAAATCAAAAATGCAAATACGTTGGGTCTAAAGATGATGTCCCACTCATTGAGACTAGAATAAATATACGAGCAGCTGATTGAAAATGAAATCGAAACTACTGTTCCTATTAATGTCGTGAAAGACTTATTACTCTAATGCACCATGAATGTGAATTTAAGTTCAACGGTGAAATATACAGACAAACAGATGGTGTTGCAATGGGTTCACCACTAGGCCCTATACTAGCTGATATTTTTCTAGCAAAACTAGAAAATGGTTCACTAAAAAAGATTATTCGAAACTTCACATTTTACTGTAGATACATGGATGACACGTTCATCCTCTGTAAAGATAATACGTCACCACAAGAGGTTCTTAGGCGATTTAATGAAGTGCATCCAGCCACTCAGTTTACATCTGTTGAGGAGAGTGATGGCCGAATAACTTTTCTGGACGTTCTCTTGACTAAGCGGATGGATCGTTGAAAAGGAACTTAAACAGAAAAAGTACATGGACTGGGCAGTATACGCATTTTCTGAGCTTTGTACCTCTACAGCACAAACGAAACTTGATCAAAACCCTTAGTTACCGTATACGCGCTATATTTTCTGCTGATATAGTTGAACAAGAGCTTAACACCTTGCATAATACTCTCAGGGAGAACGGCTACCCTAGAAAGTTTATAACTAAATATATGATCACGAAGGCGAAATAAAAACAGTGAAGAGGAAATCTCTGTTCATGCGTCTACAATTCAGAGGGGATGCGGCGAGTGAAATATTAACTCAGAGATTACGTAGGACAAAACAAAAATCTTTTAAGGCCGGAGAACTGCAATTAGTGTTTTCTACGCATCCATTGGTTACACCGAAACTAAGAGATGAATTACCTAGAATGACCAGCTCATTTTGTATTTATCAGTTCGACTGCTCCTGTGAAGCGAGTTTTATTGGTCGAAGTTCTAGGAATTTACATTTTCGTGCTCGTGATCACCTTCTAGCGTGGCTTAACAAAGGTTTGATGAAGAAAGTGAACAGCTCAATATTAGCCCATTTAGTACAAACTGGTCATAGTGCCAGTATGAATCAATCTTTTTCAATTATTTATAAGGTCAGTAATTTTTTGCCAAAACTGGTCAGACTAAAAGTCCTTCAAACGGCTGAAGCAGTAGCCATCCGGATCAAGAAACCGGAGCTATGCTTACAGAAGAAATATACTCGACTACTCCTCCTCCCTTGGCCAACATCAAGGCCAATTAATCAATCGTAATCTTAACTATTGAATGACGTAATTTGACTATGACCTTTCGTAGACAATTGTAATTTTCTCTGTTATCTTTATTCCAATAGTTGAAATCATGAATCAATTGAAGCTAGACCACCATGAAAAACCTGGAAGCACTGTACGGCCGTTTCGTCCTAGTATGGGACTCCTCAGCAGTGCGCATCCATGAAGACAATGGTGACGGTGGCGCAACTTCGTGGATTGGTTGAAGTTAGACATTAACACCGTTGGATGCCGGCTCAGTGGCCTAGTTGGTTAAGCGCCTGGCGCGATACTGGTAGGTCCTGGGTTCGAGTCCCGGGGGGGCGGGATCGTGGATGCGCGCTGCTGAGGAGCCCCACGCTAGGACGAAACGGACGTCCAGTGCTTCCAGGTTTTCCATGGTGGTCTAGCTTCAATTGATTCATGATTTCAGCTATTGAAATTACCAATTCTCCACAAAACCCATTCTAGTAATTATCTCTATTCATAAACCTTTGAATTATTATTATTATTATTGGTTAAACATCATTCATTCACTTTGCATTCTTCCCTCCTTAGTACGTCTTACTTATTTGATCGAATGGTAATTGCACTATTATTTTTCTCTCTCACCGTACTTGACCCATATTTATTCTGATCATGTATCTTAAAATCTCACGTAACATATACGCAGATTCGAGTTAACATTCTATGTGAGTCATATCAACATTAACAATTTTATTGTATTTTGTTTATTACAATCCTAAATTCACATGTTTTAAACGATGTACTTTACCCTTAACCTGGCCATTTTTCGGATTAGTAATTTATTTATTTATTTTTTTTGCCCCTAAATGCGCTGGTATTGCCGAGAATGAGGCGGGCCCGCCCTCCCTCTCGAAATGCTCTCACACAGCCACTGCCAGGGAAGTCCTACTCACTGCCTTCTCATGGCGTGTTGTTTACGAAATTCAGAGGACGAAATCCATTTTGGCTACATGATATGTATTTCCAAAATTAATTTTGATGACGAATATCATGGATTATCTCATTGGTCCTTTATGATCGAGGAAGATCAATGCGAATTTCTCAAAATCGACGGTTTCTTAACTTCGTGCCAATAAATCCGTCCAATCTGTATGTCTAAATTTTTGGGGGACAATATTCATTCTTAAGTTGACTTCAGGCCTTAACGATTAGCAAATTTGAGTAATTTTTCTACCGATCAACAAACAATATACTTCATTTGGTATTTACTCTTTTCGTCCATTTGATTGTTACTGCTTCTTCTTTTTACCTGGTGCCTAATTACTTCCATTATTCTCATTTATTAGTTGTCTGTTATGCGCTTGAAACAGTCATTTACTTTGAAACAGTGTCACACGTATGCATTCACCTAATTGAAAACGTTTACATTCAACTGAATTACGAAACATTCTCATTATATATATAATGTAAGAGGTAAGAGAAAATGCTGAAGGTATGCATAGAATTATTATTATCTTTGTCTCGATAGCCTTACATAATTTGATTTAAAAGAAGAGCAGGACTGAAAGTTTTAATTTTGAACTGTTTGTATTATTTGTAGTTTTTCAGTAATTATTCATATCATAAAGCGTAATATGATAGCTTTCATTCGTTGTATGTATCTGTGTTTGTATGTGTGTGTGTTTGTATGTGTGTGTAAGTGTGCATTTTGTGTATGGTTCATATTGACTGATAGTTGTACATTATATATGCATCATTGTAAAATAAATGTTATTTTTGAGTTTTTTTTTAATAAAACAATTTCACTCTGTTTATGTTCACATATTTCTGTAAATATGATGACATTCTTGTTAATTATTTTTAATTAAGTGATAAATACAGTTTGTTGTTTGTTTATTATTGTGTATGTACAATTTGTACAAACATCATATGAAAAATGGAGTAGTAGTATGTTTTATTTTAATGTTCTATCTTACTTTTGTTCCTCATAATTAAGATTTGTTTAGTGGTATTCAGGTAAATATACTTTAATTATCAAAATATTTTGTTTATATATTGACACTTGTACATTGATATAGTTTGGTATGTAATTATGAAATAATATTAAGTATAGTGATGCTGGGCACCGGTTGTTTGTTACTGTTTTTTAGTGCGTTTAAGTAGTTTTTTTTTTCGAATACATGTGTAAATGCTGATAACAAAATGAGCATATATATCTTTGCGTAGAGGAGAGAAAGAGAACAAAAGAGTTATCAGAACTGGAAAAAAAAGAAAATTAATAAGATAAACTATAAATAATTTTGTTTTGTTCATTTTACCCGCCAGAAAAACAATCCTGAGGTCAATCAGTTTTAAGTGTATGTTAATGACCCCATGAATTATTGTGCTTTTTTTGATTATCTTCTGTACTTGTATAAATGCATTGTTTTTATTGATTAAGAAAATATGTCAGAGAATTTCTCGTTTTGAAAGTTTTTCAAAGAATCTTTTGTGGATGAAATCATTTGTACATAACGTTGACATGATTCACAGCATTGATAACGATATATTGTAAATTTGCATAGTTCCACCCTCTTTGAACAGTGTTTAGACATGTCAACACAACCTTGAATACAGTAAAAGGACGAAGAAAGCGAATAGAATTGACTACAATAAGTTTAATTATTTTAAACGTTAATGCATCATAACGAAAACATTTGAAGTAATCTGTATAAAACTTTTCTAATCTGTCGAATGATGGTGGCATTTAGCTTCTTACCTGATGCTATAATTTGGCACCTGATTCTTCTACTAATGTAAACTTATGCTTGATCAATTCAATTACATAGTCCGAAAACAAGAAAACATAGGAGTGTGAAATGAATATTTAACTTATGGGTATATATAAGTAGACAAACTATTCTGAATGCTTGCATTAGTTGAACAATATGTTGTAATCTTAAGGTTGCGACTGGCTAGTTTCCGTTTGTCACCCAAATGACTCCGTGCCTAATTCTCTGGTATTCACACTAAAGTTCAGCTTGTATCATATTACCTGGAGAACGAGTTTTTCAGAGGTAATTCACATAGTGATAGAATTTGTACTCCTTCAGATCCTTTGCGGTGTGAGCAAGACAGTTTTATTTGATGCTCTAACTTGATAGAACACAAATGAGTTTTTCATTTGGCTTTTGTAATTTGGTTCAAAAGATTTGATTCGATTACGCGATTAACATGGCCGAACATCAGTGCTTTGAGGGTCCCTTTACTAATTCCCATGAAATATAGTTTAGAATTGATAAGTCTTACGCATACCATAGGAGTCGTAAATGCAGATCATTGGTATATATATATATATATATATATATATATATATATATATATATATATATATATATATTGATACTTCAAAGCTTTGATCAGACCTGTTCGTTGTTCATTATAGCTCAAGTTGCGGACATAAAAGACGGCGTATTTCGATGTGACATAAGAACAACTGGTTCAAATATCGCATGAGGTGATAGAATTCAGAACGCAACTACTTAATAAGTCTGTCGAAACACGTCAGTGTTTGCAAAAACTAGTTGGTGATTTCAATTTCGGTTTCCTTCCACTCAACAACGTGTTTCGATAAGTCTGTGTATTGGTACTAATTACTTTTGACGCTATTACCACTTAAAAAAAGAGTGAACTGATTCATTCCACTTACCTAATTTACATGGAGGTACTTCACATGATCGTATCACGTCTGGAATAGCAAGTTGATGGGAATAACACAATGAACCTGCCAATTCACCATTATGTGACCAAGTACACAGAAGGTGTCTAGCTTGAACACCAACTCCACCACATGAACGTGAGCACTAAAATAAAAATAAACATACTTATTCCATAATATATTTTCAAGTAGCTCTAATTTAACTAGTGATAGTTTATGACACAGTGGAAAGACTTAAAAAAGTAAATAAGATAGTGTATTTTTGCTAATCTATAATTTATCTCAAATGTTTTTAGAATTAGAAAGATTGTAGCTGAATGTAACATATTCGAACTGCTTAAATCACTAAATCTTTACAAATTTATTGACGGATTTACTATGGTTCTGTGAATAATTGGTCGAAAGCATCTGTGAGGAGATTTAACTTGAATTGACCTTCATGACAACTTAACAGAAAGTATTTGATGACTATACAACTTGCTCATTCATTGATTAAAGAAAGTAATACACTGAGTGTTTGTTGTTTTTACCACTCTTACTATGATTATCTGTATTTGAAACATTGAAGAATACGAGTTGCGGGGATATATTTTCTTTTCCAATTAGTTCCTCGTTGTGGCCGTCCACTAATCTACAGGTTTTAAAAATAAGTATAAAATGAATACCAAATAAATGGTAGTTTATTAATTCTAAAGTGCATTCTTTGAAGAAGTAACTTTGAACTCAGAAACATCAGACGTTTAATTTTCTTCTCATTCTGATATAATCAATAAATTCTTTACTATTTCTACCATTAACGTATCTCAATATTTTCTCTAAATACAGTAATCAGTTGCTGAGGCGATGTATGCAAGATTTAAATGAAAACAAAATTATATAATAGGCTGATTATTGCAGCTGGTTGCACAAGACTAAGAATAGAATTTGAATAGATTTGAAATAAATGACCTTGATGTAAGAATCCAGTATTAGCTATGGTAGTACTGATGAAACGGATGCAACGATAATTAGATTGGTAAACCAGCTTACTTGTGACGAATAATCATAAAATTAAAAATTTAAGTTGAACGAAGTTGAGTAGTGTGTGTATAATTTCTCGGAATCAAATATATGGCCAGAATGAATGACGTTTTAAAAATATTCTCATATACATCCAAATTATTTGTGGTCCTATGGCTTCTGATGTAGACAAGAAACGAAATCTGAAGACATGACAAGTCTGATAGAACTTTCAAGGCTAAATTTGTATCTATTTTTCGACGAACACTAAAAAATACTCCAGAATAGAGCCTCATCGCTTTATCTAAATTTTAGTAAACCTTGGAGGGTGGTGATTAGGAATGCGATGATGTATTTCTCTGGTTGTACAACGAACTTCACAGGAGCTTTTGAACTGGTAAACATGCATAGGGCTGGTTTTGTTTCTTACATTATATCTACATACACATGATAAGATTTTTGTTTAAAGGTCCAATATAATTACATTATTTCAAATTAGAAATCCTCTGGTTAACATTTAGGAGATCGGCATATATTAATAGTCAAATTAATTTGGTAATAACAATAACAACTAACTTACTTGAGACCAATTACTAACGTTCCATCGTACTTGACATATGGGGTTTTCACATTCCATATTTGGTTTATCTAATTTATCGCAATATTTTGTGGCGACTGTTCTCTCACCAATCATACAGACTAAATTTCCACTAATTGAACCTTTACCAACATCTAAACACCGATCTGTACACTTGAAGTATTAAGAATTCATACAAAGAAATGGTTAAGTTAGTTTAAAAAAACACAACTTTGGGTTATCGACGAAATTTCAGTCGTCTAATATATAGAATAAAAAGAAAGGAACATGTGCACCACTGGATTCTGGTTCAATGTCCAAAGATGAAGCGTTTAGGTTCAAAATTGGATGGCCTGAGTTCGATCACCTATGGTGGAATCGAACATGTGCACTACTAGGAAGTCTCTAACTAGCAAGAAACAGTTGTCCAGTGCTTCCTGATTCTCAATAGTGGTCTAGCTATGTTCTATACGTGATTTGAATTATGAAAAAAATAAATCTGGTAGTTACTTTTTTTAATATTTTGTCTCATCAACACTGAAAATCGGACAAACAATGCACCTTATTGATTAATAAGGTACAATGTAATGAATATTTCTGATCCATATTCTATTTCTGAAGTATATCTATGTAGTTTAACTTTCCAAGCTTTTATGTGTAGATCAATTTCTGAACATACAACAAAGGTAATGAGAATATTGATCAATTTACAAAGTATTTGGTTACGGATCATGCTTCTGTACCGACTTCAATTTAAACAGATGTATAACGTCTTCTGTTTCATGCATACTGTATCTTTAAAATCTAGAATTGATCTAATACTTGGTTACAATTATAATAAGTTTTTTCGTTTGGGAAAAAACAATGGTTTTTTTATCCCTGTTGTGCATAAGTGAGTAGGTTATATTCAGAAACAATTTTCAATATGACATCAAAAAATGTAGTCAATTTGTTATCATTTGTAATTTTCTGTAGAACATTTGTACTATAATTATGATTCCTAAGATATCATAGTTATTTATTATTGATTTTAGAATAAATAATTTTCAGAAAGGGGTTTTGTGGATATTATAGTAATTTAATAGTTAAGTTCATGAGTCAATTGAAGCTTGATTTGTTCTTGTAGGTTAACTGATTTCTCATAAATGTTTATAAATTATATTGGATTGATTACTTTCAAATCATGAAGTTGTAAATAGTGTTATATTTACTGTAAACTTTGTTCCATTTTGATCGAAATTTTTTTAAAAAAAAACGGATAATCAAATAATTCATTGAAGTAATCTGATAAGTCAGTTAGTTCATCTGTAAACATGACAAGAAATTTTACTCTCTTGAAGAGATTCAATTATTTTGGAAAGTATTCATTCAACAAAAAATTCTTTAATATTTTGATAGAAGGCAATACTGCATGATAAATGAGTTTAAAAATTTATTATTCTTAAATGTTAAAAAGAAAATCTCTTTTCTTTTCTTTTCTTGTGTATCCATGTAGTTACAAATAAAAAAAGATTAAATATTCCGGTGTGTAACTATCATTGTCCATATATTTATTTGGTAATATGAGACAATATATTCTCAAGTAATTATCTTATGTAAAAATTGATTGATGTTCATTCATTAGATGAATCTTAATTCTATCTTGCTGTCAATAATACAAATTTAGGCCCATAAAGTTATGTCAATAATCTTAAAATAAACTCAAAAAACATTCCTAAAGTATTTAATTGAAGTATAACTTGATAAAAATCATAGTCACTTTTATCAATATAGGGGTTATGGAGATTGCTGAGCTTTGTATGCCGGCTCAATAGTCCAGAGAATGAAGACCCTGGGTTCGAATCCCGCGAGCGGGATCGTGGATGCGCACTGCTGAGGAGTCCCACAATAAGACAAAACGGCCGTCCGGTGCTTCCAGGTTCTCAACGGTGGTCTAACATCAATCGGTTCATCATCTCAATAAAAAATAATCACTTTTATTGGTTTAGTTCACTTGCAATACTATAATGTACATTATGGTAACTCACAACAGATGTATCACGGTTTTCAACGAACCATGTTGGACATTTGTTACTTTCTAAACACTTTCGTGTACTTGGTGGTTTTGGCAATAGCTTATCAATGCATACTTGATCATTCAGTATTTGATAGAATCGACTATCAACTTTTTCACATCTGACTACACGAAATTGTTGTCCAGTTTGGCCACAACTTGTAGAACATGTACTCCATGGTCCAACAACCCATTGAATAATTTCATGGTTTATAGCTATTGCTTTAGGATCATCGCTAAGCATACCTTTGGTCCATAATCTATTTCTTTGCACCCAATCGTGGAATCCTGCTGCTGGAGTTCTAGCTGTTAACGTGACTGTGGCATTCATTGAACCAGCTATACACGTCCAGTCACCTTCGTCAATGAGACGGAAACTTCGTATGTGTAACCTTCCTCGTTTATCTACCCTTATTCTATCAGATATTGCTCCTGTATAGGCTAATATCCCATGGTTTGGGTTAGCCCATTGTAATTCTTGTGCTGTAAAATACTGTACAGGACATCGTACAGTTACACGGGTAAATGGTATTACGAATGCTTGCTGGCCAACTTTCAAATCAATCACTTTCACCTAAAGTAAAAATAAATTACGAAAATATTTAACTGTTGAACAATAAACTATTTAGAACTTGTTAGAATCATTAAAAGGATAAACAGTAAAATGTGCTATTTCTTTAAATGATTCGTTGAAATAGATCTGACAATAAATTCGGAAAATTTACTCTTGCTTCAACAACAAGTAAATGTGTGAGATATTGAAATGAAATTTAAATGGATATATGATTATTATCTTGAGAAACAGATACACATGAACGTATCTCATCCTGTAATTGCTATCGTTAATTTTTCCTTTCTCGAGACATATTATGGTCGCCACTCTTAGAGAAATCACTTATGTAAAGTTCGTGGAAGACAGTTGTGAAATGTATCAAGGTAACTAAAATATGCTGGTTAATCGAATTTTTAATATTCTATCAGGAGTGAATAATAAGCTAATCGATTAAATACTACTATCTGTCGACCGAAAGTAGTCATCTAGTTTATATTGCAGGCTGGACAAAACTAATTTAATTTATGCCACTTTACACAACAAATTCATTGTGTATCTAGTGGTATAATTATTAAGTTCTATGGACAGGACAGTTCAGAAAATGTTTTCATATATTTACCAATTTTGCATGATATCTTCCGAGTGTTCATATCCACAGTAGAAAAAGACAAACTCCTGTGTTGAGCTTATATTTTGTTCGTAAGAAACAGTTTTCCAGGTGTACAATATGATAAGAATTGGTACCTGGAAGTATAGTCATAGACTGTAGTATTTCATGATAGTTTTATGAGTTTTTCAAGTTGAATGTTCGTATATTTTTCCACAATGAACTAGCTTAATACATATAGTGAACTTTATGAAGTACTCTGTAAGGCTAATCAAAATGCTATGATAATTAGATTGTTATATGTGAACTAGTATAGCGGTTTATAATGAAATGGATTGAAAAAAGTCTCAGTTATGTACTAATTAAAGTTTTTTTTCAGCAAATTTATATATTTATTCAAAAATTAATTAGTATTTATTACCCTGTAGGCTATAGTGTATTTGTGATAACTTGTCTTAACTATTGGTTGCCTTTAGAAAGCTACTCTGTTTATGATTTACTGTTAAACTTATTCATTTCAGTCTTTTGATTCTCATAGAGTATTAGATTATGGGTAATCTATAATCTGGATATGGTAAATTCACATAAAGTCATATGTACATAAGAATTTATCAGTTCAAGATCTGAGAAAAACAAAGTGAATATGTAGATCAATCAGACCTTATTGAACATTATTGAAAAATTTGAGAGTGATGTCTAATTAGTTGTTAAGAGCATTTTTTATCAATTTCTAAACATTGAACAATATAATAATAGAACCTGAAATATTTGAATAGTCAAGAAATTATAATCAGATTAACTCTGTCTAGAATCTTATTACATTTTAATATAACCAGACACAAAAAAGTATACAAGTAGAGAAATTAAAGAAACTACTTTTCTCATCTGAACAATAGTTAAAGTGTCAGTATTAATCATTGGTGGTTTGCTGTCACATTTTCTTGAACTTTCTTCAAAACATCGACGCCATGTTGGTTGAATTGCTTTCCCAGTCATATAGCAAGCTGCCATTGGCAGTTCGCGAAGTGATCCGTTGACTTGTACAGAAATACACGATAATTGACGTACTTGTCTGCCTGGACGACATGGATCACTTTGGATACACTAATGAAAAAATATAATTGTAAAAATTCTGATGTATATTCGTATTGTATTTACTCATCAAATAAATAAAAAAGGGTCACTCAGTTAGACTAGGAACTGAAGGCAAATCAATTTTGAACACCATATAAAAGTAAGTAGTATGGTACAACTTATTAAAAACCAATAATCTGTAGAAATAATCATTAGGAATTATAACAAAGAAAATGTACTTTTCCGAAGAACGTTTTCGACGATGGTTTCAAAAATCTACTGGTTTGTCGATTTTATAACAATGTAATACGAGTATACTGACAGACGTGCATTATTTGACAGAGATTCTGTTGTTTCTTTCGGGTTTTACTCAGCATAATTTAGCGAATATCGAACATATCTTCTGTGTCCTTATAAGATTTTTAGCCAACCATATATTATAATTATTTTATTAAGAATTTAATCCATTCAATGAACTCAGTTATTTTATTTCCATGTACAATTTCAGATACAGCTCAAAGTAAGGCACAATCATAACAGTGTTTAATACGATGATGACATTCTAAGTTTATTTGGAATTATCCTCTTGTGGTGACTATTTTCGTTGTATTTAAAGTTCAAACTTTAATATAAACCTGATCTAATAAGAAAAAATCCATTAGCTATCCTTTTTCACTGTTTTATCATTGACCGGAAACAGTAGTTTTAAATTCAACTAGAATAAACGATCGCTTCTAACGGCTCTCTAGAAAACTAAAATATTTAACGAGTTTATGCAAACACTGTCAACCATCTGACACAGTTTAGCTAACTAAAAATATTCAGGTTGATAACGTTGATTAGATGGGATACTTTGACATCACAGTCTTATTCATTTCAATTGAGCTAGAATAATTGAACAACTACATATATTTTTACTTAATCGCACAAAGCATTTCTATCTGAGAAAACGACTATATTAACATAAAACTGAGGTCATCAAGTTATATTTTGCAATATATTGAAAATTAATTTACAAAACGTATAAAAAGAACAAAAGTGACCGTAAGTTTACACATATTCTAACTAGTTCAATGGTAAGTTATGCAGAGACAATTGTTTCTTTTAAACTTATAGTTTATAACTCACCTTACCCCATTTTTCTGGGACAAATTCAGGCTTACATGCAAATCGATTGCACGATGCATGTCTCTCAGGTTGACGATAATTACCACAATAATAAGGTGCATCAAAATCTGATATCACGAGATCACCATCTTTGCCTGAATAAACACACTGTACATCACGAGACATTATACCAAGTCCACCACATGTTTGTGAACAATGTCCCCAGTTAGATACTCTCCATCGATATCCTTTACCACATGGACCGAGTTTACATGCTCTTTGATTGTTTTCTGTATTCTGTGCACTTGGATTGGGTAAATGTTCACATTGTGATTCATCCAACAGTGTGGTAGCGTTGTAGTGATCATTTTGAACACATAAAAATCGACGTATTTCAATACCATCACCACACTCTTCAGAGCAACTAGACCAACTCTCCGAAGGCATCCAGAAAGGTGGAGTGACACTGGAAAAAAATACAGATTTTTACACCTAAAAATATATAGCATGTAGAGTATTAATTGTAAAGATGGGTGAGAAAAAACCATTCTGTATAGAGCGAAGGGTTTTTCCATGTGTTTGCTTATCAATTCCCAAGTGGTAAATATTAAGTGGATGGACCTCTAACAGTTCCATTTTGAGTCAGAAATAATTCCGAACAAATTTATTGTTCTTTTTTCAATCAGTCAGCACTACATATGAATTTTATATCGTTTCTCATTTCCTTTTTATTCTGTACCTTTTTCTCGGAATATATTTTCTTCCCAACTCATTCTCATATATATTGGAGTAAAATGTATTAATCAGAGAGCGTGAGAGAGGGGAGTATTTGTCGAATCAATTTGATAAGTTAGAGAATAAAATTTTAAACTAAATGAAACGGTAGATTATTAAACAGTTTAGATGAATAATAGTTGAGGAAGGTATTTGTCAAATTGATTATTTAACTACGTTCAGTCGACTAACGCATGTACTGAGTGTACAGTTGTTCATGGGGTCGTACAAATCTGACATGATTTCTTCATTTTTATCTATTGGAAGTAGTAGATTTGGGATTCCTTAAGGTGTAACCTGGATTCAGCATACAAAGAAATATTTCCTGTGATTACCTTGGATTTATCAATATATGAGCAACTTTGGCTCTTATTTTTGTGACAAGTGGTTCGAGTGAAATAGATAACCAAAGAGGAATAACTATATGTTTCATCAAACCGATCAATCAATAATTTAATTGATGATTTGAGTATCAACTGAAGAGTTAAGAACCCGGAATGATATCGTGTAACGTTTAGAAAAAGTTGTAAGCAAGGATGGAACGGTTGTCCATAATTTCAATATTTCCTTTAGCCTGTTTGATAATGTTAACTTGCAATGTAAAGTGTTTCACTGTATCCATTAATTTTACAAATTTTCTTAGTTGAATTATTATTATCAATAAAGAAACGTTTTTTTCAATTGCCTTCTTTCTGAGTCTTGTATTTTTCCGAGGTAGATGAGGAAATATGTGTCCCCTTATTTGAAGTTTATTTTCCCACAGAATAACAAGTTGAAAACTAGAGAATGCTAAAGAGTACTGGATAACTATTTCATATAAGTTTGTGACTTCGCATTAGTAAGTAGTCGCGGAGCAATATGTGACAGAACTCACAATCTCCAAGCCTTTATATTATTAATTATGTCTCATAACATTCTTTCTCTAACATAATTTATACGACAACTAAAACTTGGGGTGGTTTTTATGAAAGTTCGGTTGACTCATAAATTATTTTGCCACCAGTTAAATGATTTTTAGGATACTTAAGGGAAAATGACGTTTAGAGATGTGCGCTTAGTTGATAGTCAGAAAAACTAAAACTAAAAACATAAAATTTAATGTACATTTAAAATAATGACAATTCCCATTTCGACATTTGGTAAATAAAGAAGGGATGAATGGAGAGAAGAAATTTCTTTTCAATTAGTTTTTCATCATGGCTCTACACTAATATATATGAAATTCATCGACAAATACATAAAGGAGATGATAAGAGGGACAAAGATACCTACCGTCCCGAAGAAAGTATTGTTCTTAAAATTACAATTTATAAATGATACTACTGAAGAAATTGTGACTCAGAGATTGAGAAAAGCGGTAAAAAAGGTATTCAATGCAGCCAGACTGAGTGCTATCTTCCACAACCGTCCCACAATAAGAACGGCCAATAAAGACAGATTGCCTGAATTTACCAAATCTATGTGTATTTATCGATTCAACTGCTCCTGTGGAGCCAGTTATATAGGGTGTACAATTAGGCAAGTTCGTCATCGTATAACAGAGCACCATACGTTTTGGTTGAGCAAAGGACAGGTAATAGTGATTAAGATATCTATTCTCGCTCACTTGGGTGACACAGGCCATCAGGTAGAACTGAATAAAACTTTTAAGGTTATTTACCATATTCCATCAAATTTGCCACATGGCTTTCAAGTGCGCCTTATGCACATTGCTGAAGCCATTGCAATCCATGCTCACAAGCCCATCCTTTGCATCCAAAATAAGTTTATACAACCACTTTTGCTACCTTGGCCATCGGTGTAGAGGCGTCTGTAACAGAACAGTGATAAACTATTTTTTTACTACTTCCATTTTTGTTTTTTGTTTTCTTTTAAACGTTGTATTTTACTTATTCTCAACATTGATCTCTTGATTCTTCTGACCATTCATTAAAATATTCTGTTCCTTCTCATTTTCATATATTATGTAACGTAGCAACTTCTTGATTTTCCAATAATTACTTCGATTATTATTAATCCTCAATATTAATTTATAATCGAGATGTCATTATGTCATTATTACATAACATATACAGTGGATGAGTATTATTTCATTATTGCAAATCATATGTATATATTAGTGTAGAGCCATGATGAAAAACTAATTGAAAAGTAAATTTAAAAGTTTTTTTAAAATCTAACATACTAACAGACTATCAACCATATTGTGTCCAAATAATATCAGTTAAAAGTTTAATTAACAAATTAGTTTATTTTTGCGAAGAAAAACAAACACATTTTAATAACGAAATGAACAAAATTTTTTCATTCATAATTGGCGGTACATTAAGTTTGGTTCTGAGTAACTTTTGTTCTTCAAAAAACCAAACAAACAATCGATTCATTGTACACTTTTTAAAATTTCTGTCTGACAGAAAGTATCGGAAGAGAATGAAAATAACAAACTAATATCAACTAATAAAATATTTCATAAATCTTTTGTACTAAACAAACTAATCAGCAGAAAAATTCCATAAAACATTAATTATGTGAACAGAAATTATATGAAATTTTAGTACGTAACTATTTTATTTTAACTCATGATGATTTCTGTTGTTGTGGATCATTATTAAGAAACAAAATAGATTTTAGTAGTTTGGTCATTTTAAAAAAAAGAAACTTTCTCCTTTCTAAAGTTACACAAGGTAATTATTTTTTTGACGTGAATTTAAAGAGTTCATTTTGTGTAAAGTGTTTCATGTGAATGAGTAAATTTATCGATACATATCAATATGGAACAAAGTAGAAGTTTATCCTTAATATATCTATGGATGAAGGAATGGATATGGAAAACAATAGGAAAGTTTTCGAAGTGGGATATTTTTTCTTACGAGGTTTCAGGATTTCCTCGTGAATATCTATTTTAAATTCTATTTTCAAGTATATTATTCCAAACTGAATGAATCGGATGGTAATTGATTTTTGATGAATGTTTGTTGGATTGTCAGCAGTTTATTATTTGTTGTGTTACTGAGGCATAATCACATGGCTCTCAAATAAAGAGAATAAATTAAGGTGTTCTTTCTACCCAATGATTACATTAAAATAAATTCCTTCATGAATTTTATCAATTTAATATAGGAAGTATGTGTACAAAAATATTCGTTCAAAATTTCTGCTTATCCAACATAAATTGACGTATTTATTTATTTACTGATTTAAAATTATAACTAATTTTCACATCGTATAGCAACTCTCCTAATATTAATTTTGTTTACGGTTAACGTTGTCAATTCTTCAATTAACTTATATAACAGACCGTTTTATTCAAACAATAACAATTTATCTATTACTTTGTATTATTATGACCACTACCGTGTCTGTATAAACGTGTATGCTTGATCACATGTGATAGCCTACGGACATAACTTCCTCTTGTTTAAATGTTAATCGCTTAAAAATCGCTCGATGAGTCATTATGTTTCCCAAATATAAAAAAAGGGCACCGAATACATATGCGCCACACAAATCATTCTATATGTGTGATACTTCCCTGGTGCCCAAACTGAAGCAGGCGGTCTTCTTAGGGGGCAACAACTGAAGCCTTCGACCCAAAGGTCTGTTCCACAAGGCAGTGGAGTAACGTCAGGAGATGCAGTCTCATGGTATCTGGTGACCAATAATTGGTTCATACGCCATTTGTTCCTTCAGGACAATGGAGCCCATGTGCACCATTGGTTTTGAATCAGAGTTTTCCAACTCCCCTAGGTGGACTCTCCGTATCCACCGACCCAGTTAAAACTCCAGATATTTGCTTTTCATCCTCTCGATTTCGTTAATAACACCCCCTTCGCGAGAAGGCATTAAGTAGGACTTTCCTGGCAGTGCTTGTATGGTCATGTGAGAGCATTTCAAGAGTGGAGAGCTGACTATCCCCACCCTCGGCCGTACCAGATCATATATATATACATATATATATATATATATATATATATATATATATATATATATATATATATATATATATATGTATATATATGCATGCTAGAATCTCATTAATTGTTTCATCTTTCTTCGCTTCGACTCGGTTCGATTCGATTTGACTCTGAATCCACCTATGTGTTCGCTTGCACATGCGTATTAGCTTCTCTGTTACAATTCGCTCTATGTGCCTGTAACTTTGCTATCTGTGCTATCCGCTAATAAACTGTAGTCGCCGCTTCGTATTGCCTTCTGAATTCATACACCGTTGGAATTTATTTAATAATGGTTATCAGAGTGATTGTTAGACGAAGCCCAAGGAATTATCTCAAAACCAAGCCACGACAATCTATTCACTTCACTAATTGTTGTGGTATATTAGAATACATAGAAATTAGTGGTTCATGATAAACAGTTTTCAATTTAGTGACTTTATCAAATTAAAATTCATTATGTTTGAATATTCAACGGTTAATTACTTAATAGTAATATATATATCATCTACTCAGATTTGATTCAACATATAAGGTCGATAGTTTACAATGTATAAAACATCTAAGCATGGATGAAGCAGATGTTCAGTGTTTCTCGGTTGTCAACAATAATCAAACTAATATTATTTTCTGAAGAAAATGTTCTGTGAATTAAAAAAAGCTATGCGAAATCTACATGATATATTTAAAAAGACGATTCTCTCAGCCTGATTGTAAAGTATAAATTTCAAAGAAAAAT